ATACATAAGATATGTCCAAACAAATGATACGAAGAATGAGAGACTTCATAATGAAGACCAATTCAAGCACTTAATTTCTCGGTACAAAGAAAAATTTAAGATAGAAGATTTGTTTGTAAAAGAAGCAATAAATGTGAATTATCTCGACTATAATTCAAACAAATGATAAAAGAAGACTAATTAAATTCGTGAAATTGTTAACTTTTATACAACAAACGTTGTATAAAACAATTAAGATTAAAGGAGTCTATAACTCATTAATTTTTAATTTAATTTCATTATTATTGTTAGCTTTTATAAAACCAGTTTTTTTTCCTGTAGTAGGGATAGGTTTTTGTTTATAACGGAAAATTTTATTGCCTGTAAAAGAAAGTAAACACATTTTTTCTCTGAGCTGGAGCGTTTAATCTACGAGACTCATTATCAGTGCTTGTTTTATTTAGTTTTTGGCATAGAATTAAAAAACAGCGTTTTTCTTTTATTATTAGTGCGCTCTTTCCTTCTCCATGCAATTTGATTGAATTATTTAAAAAATAAATATTAAAAATGTAAAGACCGTTAATTGTTTTTATCAATCGTTCCAGATTTAAGGAGATGTTGGAGTGACCAAGTGTTGGGACATTGCAGAACGATATAAACCTCCGAATTTACTTTACGGAATCAAAAATCCTTTTACAGGATTAAAGTATACGCAAAATTGGAAGGTGCTGCAATGGACTTTATACTAAAATCGAGAAAAAGTTAAAAACTTACATTTGTTCAACTCATAGAGTTGTCACCTGACGTAGACGTTTCCTTAATACAAAAGTTTTATAGCTCGTATGGACAAAACAACAGTTCAGGGTTTTACGTGCACAAATAATACTGAGTTTATGAAACTAAGATTCAAAGCTTAAAATGAAAGATTTATATCGATCTGCAAATTACGTGTATACGAATGCTGAACAAAGACTCGAAATGGTAAACAAAGCAGTAATTGCAGTAGGTGTTCGATTTTGCAAGAGATGGCGTTGCAATATATTAGATAAGGACAGATGTACGCGTTTGAGTGAGACATAACGATAATATAAGAAATGAATTAAAGATGTTACTATTATCGGTTTTTTTATTTAGAATGAAAAAATCTGTACTATCGACATCGATCAAGTTCAGCCGTCATTCCAGCAACCCCTTAAATTGCAAATTTATTCAAGCACTATATTCGTGTCCTAAGTAGAATGACAAAACAACAACCATCGCTCGCTCGCTTCGTAATATGCTACCTCTCCCCAGTAGAAGATACGCTCGCTCCCGCAATTCTAGAGATACTATGATTACATTTACACAGCATCCTTAATCGGGTTTAATAACATCCGTAGTTATGAAACTGGCCAATCACAGTCGTTCCATTCTTCCGAGGAATAGCTATGATTGGCTAATTTCTCGATTTCGTCACATTAGTAATGTAAAACAGAAACATAAATATATACATACACTTATGGCAAAATTAAATAATTATTAGATATAACGGAAAACGCTTCATATCCTTCCTCGCTCCTATTCTTGCATTCCAAAATGCAACTCGTCATTTTTACAACATTATATTATTTATTATGATAGAATTGTGGTAATACTTTAACACTTTATTCTCATATCTTACATAACAGATAAATGTAAGGGGACTACTCTGGACCTTGAACACATCAAGCATATAGACACACGTTCTAACCTGATTCAATATAAGCACACGTTTCATAGAGTCTTTCTGAAGCATCACAGAAAATATGTAGCTCTATTGATAGCACTGTTGTCTGAGTTGACATTGCGAGGCACTGACAAAACTTGAGTCGCGTTCAAAGAGCCATAGTATCTTATTCAACCTTCTACGTTTCTAGTAAATGATACGGTAAATCTTCATCCCAATCTAATTATTCTTTTCATAATTGTTGCATTAATTGCTTGACTACCACTAATATAGGTCCGATGAGCTCTAAAGGACCAAATACCTTTGAAATAAGCGATGACACCTGTCTCTTCGGTGCAGATCCATCTAATTGAATTTCATACTGTAAACGATCTTGTTCCGAGTTCCAAAGTAATCCGAGCGTTCTTAACATCTCATGCTCATTTAACATCAAAAAGCTATCCTCTTCCTTATCTGTCCATAATGAGCGAAGTGTTCGTTAATCGTTACTTCTACATTTACGAAGATAAAATCCTTCGCTTTGAAGCAACTCCATTAGTTCCTGCTGTAGCGAACATACCTCCTCCAATGTGTACGTTCCTGTGAGTAAATCTTTCAGATAAAAATTATGTAATATTTCCAATGCGGTGAGATATTTACTCTTCTCCTGGATTGCTAATTCTTTAAGCATCTGACCGTCAAGAAAGACGCTGAAGCAGTTATATGTTAGTGTTCAACCGATATATTTGAATATCCTCATCACTGTAGGATCTCCATAGTATCCTTTGTAAATCTCTATTTGAATCTCTTACTTGCCGGTACATCATCTTTAGATCAGCGGTCATTGATGGATTCTGAATATTATTAATAGCTCAAACAACACATCCTGTAAAATAGGTCCTGTTAACAACTTGTAATTCAATGATACTCCTGATTTAGAAAGGACGGATTCATCGAATACTACACTTAGTTTTCTGATTAACGCTCCTTTCTTTATTAATGGGATGATGTGGCAGATAATGAACGTTTGAATATTCTCGGAGTCGATCGTCCTCGACTAACGATATGTGCGCAAGAGCCTTATATTGCTCCATAAATTTGACATATTCTTGTTTCAGTTCAGGCTGCCGCGCAAATCGACCTTCCAATGCGTAGAATCTCTTCAGTGCTATCTTGTACGAAGCTGTGAGTATGATATATTTTCTTTGTGGCAATCCAAGGATAAACCTGCCCTCGGAATTTCGTTGTACAGTTGCTTGGAAATATTCTTCACATTTCTGATATTCAGGCGAATAATACTTCTAACAATTAAATATAAACAAAGGTGATCGAGCAAATATAAGTTACAAACAAATTAAATAATTATCTACAAATCAGCAAAAATAAAACGTACGTTTCAGGATCACCGGTTCTTCTTCAGCTAACATAATTCAAATAATTGTGTGCACTAATAAAATTTTTCATTAATCGGTGAAACGCTGACATAATAAAAATATTGTAAGTCCACATGCTCATCCTTCAATATTTCCCACCAATAAAATCGATGTTTCCAAGTCTGTGGAATTCCTCATCGGCTAGCTTTAAATAACTAGGTATATTCAACGTTGACGCATCAATTCTTGTTTGAGGTATCCGTTCTGTAATTTTGGTAATACCAAACATTCTAATTTAAATTTAGCCTTATTGTGTCGCGATTGTATTTCTAAGATAACTTGGCTAACGCGTATCTTACTTTGATTTATTCCAATGATTGGAATATTTACCGATTTACAAGTTAAAGGCAACTTAGTATCTACTAATGCACACGTAATTAAATTGAACTGAGGGTAAATATTAAAAACAATGATAACCACCTCCGATGACCTTGACATGTACTGTCAAGATCATAGTCCTGAGTGATCTTCGGAAGGTTTTAGTCCGCGCTCGTTATTCGTTTAAAAGTTAATAACAAAATAAGTTCTGCTATATAAAACAAAACTTCTCTGCTCTAAAGTAAGTGATAAATATTGAAAACAACGGATCCACCTCCAATGATTTTGACCTTGATATATATTGTCAAGGTCATGGTCCTGAGTGATCTTCGAAAGGTTTTAGTCCGCGCTCTTTATTCGATAAAAAGTAATTAAGAAAATAAGTTTTACAAACAGAACACAAAATCGAAATTCGAATTTTTTTATACGTGCGCTAACTCGTGTTTAAGGGGTGAAACACTCCTTTGAAAAAAACGGTATTTTTCTTCCGAGTCGAAATTGTCGGAAGTATAAAAGATGGAAAAAATTTTTTAAACAAAAATTGTACGGTTTCAAGAGTACCTACTTTAAAGTTGCGAAAAAAAACATTAAAAAAATTTTTTTTTTGTTTAACAATATACCCCACCATCCACAGTTTTCTCCACAGCTTATAGACTGCTGACACTATGTGATAGGAAGAGATGAACCTGATTCCGACTTGTCCTTGTTTTAGTCCTCATTTCCCATATGCGTGTGTATGCGTCCTGTCTGTGAGTATTATGTGAATTCATCTATGTAATTTATACATGTGTGAGTGAGAGAACTCAAATATGACACTGTCCAGCACTGTTTTCAAACATGAAAGCGAAGTTAGCAATTTACTTATAGAAGTTTGTAGTTTTTTCAAATTTTTCAAATCCGTTTTTACCAAATTGAAGATTATTTTTTTCCAAATTCAACCATGTATAATAAAGATATATTACAACATATCATTTTTGAGAATTAATTATAAACGCTTCCTTATATACTCTATCCGTGATCTCATGTGCGTAAGTAATTACCGTCGAAACAATAAGATATATGAAAAGATGTTTTAAGTAAAATTTGTATAGTTTTTTATATGACTGTATATTTATATATATATTATACATATATGTATTTATACAGGGTGTCCCAAAAGGTCGAGACACCTGAATATCTCGGAAAATATAAATTTTAGAGAAAAGTATTTCAGATAAAAGTTGTAGGATCTATTTATTGATCTTATCAGTTTGACTTTAGGTTGTTGCCAAGATCAGGTCACATCGATTTTTTTAACGGAATACCCTACTTTTAATTCCAGAATATAATAGCTGATGTCAAGAGCTTTTCAAAACACTACAATAAAGTTATTTTTTATAAAGTACTTTTCGAATTATAAGACTTCAAAGTTACAGTAACACCGGAAAAATGAATATCGACACATTTTTATTTCAAGCCAAAAAACACCGACCTTGGATAACTCTGAATATATAATTATTTATATAAAATGTAGATTCAATATTTAGCAAATGTGGTGCGAAATTAATGTCAATACGCATATGTTAGCTATACCGTCTGAAGGCGCTTATATACGAACTGCGATTAAGTTATGACTCACAGTAAGTGTTAGTCACTGAACAGACGTAATCAAGACGTACAGCTACTCAACAAATTGCATATCACACAACTAAAAATGTCCTACGACGAAGATTTCCAGAAATGGATCAAAAAAGTAATGTTAAAAATCATTGAAAGTTTCGGTCCACACATCGATGAAGCTCAGTACGAGATAACCGAGTCTACCGACGTTTTTATGTCCAATATGTATTATGCGTGCGTCAAGTTTAAAAATAGACTGACTCAGAATGAAGAACATTTTATAATACTGAAAAGACCTAAACAGTTAGAAGTCTGGAGACAGATGACGGGCAGCGACCTGCAATTTCACAACGAAATATTGTTTTACCGAACATATGCTCGACCGGATGAGAATTTTCCGAGATGTTTCTACGTCGACGAGAAGCCACCTATGGACTCAGTAATTGCTTTGGAGAACGTCAGTAAACGAGGGTACTGTCCTTATTCGTACAAATACAACATTCCGTTAGAATACACATTAGCGGCGATGCGCGAGATAGGACGCTTCCATGGCAAAGGATATGTCATGAAGGAACTGCAGAAAGAAAAGTTCTTCGATATCGTAGGACAGCTTCAAGACAATAGGTTTGACGAGAAGTTTGACGAGTTTAAGCTTCTTATCAATTCTCAGGCAACGCGAGCAGTAGAATATCTTCGCAGCCACAATCATGACGCGATTTTCTGCGACAAAATGGAAGCTTTACTCTCGAATGCATTCGACGAAGTGATGGTAAAGACCATTAAACCACTAGAACCTTTATCCACAATGTGTCACGGCGATTTTACGTTGACTAATGTTCTCTTTAAGAGAAAAGATGATGGACAGCAACATGCAATGCTGATCGACTTCGCGCTATGTAGGTATTCGACTCCCGTCATTGATCTCTCTACGTACATTAGTTTGCACTGGCATGAAGTAACGAAAGACAAATTCTTCGATATAATGCATGTTTATCATGACGCGTTAAAAGAATATCTGTTAGAGGCTGGCATTTGGAATATCGATAAGTACTCGTACGATGTTTTCCTTGACGATTACAAGAGAGGTGGTCTCTTCGGTTTCGTTATTGCATCTTTTTTCTTACCAAAATTAATGGGATATTCCTCTATAGATGGACAACAAATAATAAAAATGAATTACGCAGAATATTGTAGGATATTGAAGCAGGAGGGTGGAGATGAAATATCTAAGACCTTAGCTGATATATTGCTATATTTGAGGGATCTTGGTTGCTTAAAACCCTTTATATAATGGTGTAATATTGTTTTTATTGTTATATTAATGTACAATACATATAGTATCAGCATTAATGCATATAGTATCAATAAAATGTAGTAATTATGGAGTATCTAAATAATGTACGAAAAAGTTTGCAAGTATAATTTTAAACACAATGTAAATAAAAAGAAAAATCTGTACAAATACATATAATCTTTGTACGTAAGTATAATGTACTTATTATATGTATATGGTATACACACATATAAGAATATATATTTTCAATTTACATCTTAAAATATTTCTTATTTCTTTCACCATTTTCCATTTTAATAATCATTGTTTGTTTACTTATTTAATCGTTTTTAATTTCATTATTTATTTTTTTATTCAATTCTATATTCTTTTATTTTTATACCTTTATTAATCCTAAACTACCACTACAATGTGTTACCAACCGCAAATGAAGAAATTCAAACCATTCAATACCAATCCTAAACAATATCGTATCCTCTCCTCTTTTTACATCATCCACTGACAAAGAATTATTAAAATTAGAAACAATAACAGAAAAATTTCTTGATGTTAGTAAAATAGTCAATTTAATTGTGACAATCTTGCGTTTTTTCGCGGGTTTTCTCCGTGTTTAGATCCATTCTTGGAATGCCAACGTTTCGTGAACCTTGCAGTTCACTTCATCAGGGCGAGGAGCAGCCTGATACTAATTGTAAGCTGTTCCCCCGGGTCGTTCCTTTTATATTACGCTGCTTGTGTGGGGGGAGGAGGGGGGGAGAAGAAAATTGTGAGTCAAGGGGGGAAAGGAATTCGGCCGGTTTTCAATAGCCGGGAGAATATTAGTCAATTTAATTAATTGTCTTAAGTTAAAAAGCAAACAAATACGTCATCTCGGTAGAAATCTCATCAATATGATCAAAAGTGTTGCGTTATATCTCGATGATACGATATTCGTCATAAAATTCTAATAGTCACAGTGCGATAGTAAAACTGTCATAGTCCGAGAATAAGAACACAAAAGTGGTCAATGCAAAAATAAATTATTGAGTGAATAAAAATTAAAGTTATATATGAAGATGTAAAATCAGTCAAGAAATAAAATTAAAAATGTATAACTGTTGCGATAGACAAACATTGACTAAGAGAAAAATACAAAACAGAATGTGGTCTTGGCAATGCAAAGTCAGATCTTATTTACAATCGGAATGTATGCTGTATGTAGGCCCTCTGTATCGGTTTGGAAATTAAGGCTGTTTTTTTGTTTTTTTATATAAAGCATTTCCGAAATTAGATGTTTGTTATAGCAAGGTTCTTCGTCTAAAATTTCAATCGAAATCATGTTCTAGCTGTAATCTGTGCTCGGTCATAACAGATCGGGAAGATACGTATTCCGTAGCACATATGATTTCTGTGTTCTGCAATTCGCATTTTACCTGTCTACCCGTCTTCTACATACGAGGCATCATAATTATTGCACGTAATCCTGTAAACTATATTGTTTTTAGAAAATTGAGGTCGCGGATCTTTGTGTACTTTAATATATTTCTGTAGTTTATTCAAACTATAAAAAGAGACCTTGATATCGTTTCTATTGAATTGGTTAAATTTTTCAGTCAAAGATGGAATAAAAGGCACAGTGAACCATGATTGAACAACAGATAAATCCTCGTTCTTGTTAGATCGATTAACACACGTTGCACTTCCAACCCTGATTCTTTGGAGTCTCTTGTTGATTGTATCAAAGATCAATTTAAGTAGATAATCATTATTTAATAAAATATTTATTATAATTGTTAGATTTTTCATGTAGAATTCTGAATCAGACAGTAAGATAGCTCTATCCACCAAACTAATGATTACACCCTTTTTTTGAGATAACGGATGGTTGGAGAAAAACTTAGAAATTTAGTTGGAGAAAAATTTAGAAACCTCCTCGAAAAGTTAGGTTTGTGATACCAATCAATACCAATCAAAAGTTAAGAGTTAATTTTACTTTTAACTGAGAAAAAGGAAGGGTAAATATTGAATGTAGAAAAGGCATTAGGATGCATAACAGTTAAAAAGGAAGGATCTTTTTTTGTTGCTTTTTCTTCTGAGGAAAACGAGTTCGGAGCATGGGTAACATTGTGAGAATTGACTTGTACTGGAGGAACCGATGTAACATTATGTAGATATTTAATATACTATCACATTGTGTCAAGGAAGCTGGTATGTAACTATTTGTTTTGTGCAGATGATCGGTAGCGTCACGTGAAGGTAGAAGTTAAAGAAGTTATTACAAATTAAATAAATTACAAGCCTTTAAAAAAGATATCTCGTAATAGGCAACTTTATCGTATATAAATATTTTCGTATATAGAAAAGTTGGTTGTTGTAAAAATCTTGTTTTACTATGATTGTCCGTTTTAATTGTTCATTAATATTTTTGAAATTTTAAATAAGAAACCGTAAAGAAAGAGAGAAAATTGATTCAAACACATTTTTGTCATTACGAAGCGGACTATCGATTTGAAAGTTTTTTTTATTAATATCGCAAAGATAAATAGTGATAAATAGTGAGTAAATAAGAAAGTGATAAAAGAAATCATGATTGAAGTTTGTGAATATATACTTAAAAAGATATGATAAGATGACGTTGATATTACATGAATCTCTTCATTTGCGGTTGGTAACACATTGTGATAGTTTAGGATTAATAAAAAATATAAAAATAAAAGAATATAGAATTGAATAAAAGAATGAATAATGAAATTAAAAACGATTAAATAAGTAAACAAACAATGATTATTAAAATGGAAAATGATGAAAGAAATAAGAAATATTGTAAGATGTAAATTGAAAATATACATTCTTATATGTATACATTATACTTACGTACAAAGATTATATATATTTGTACAGATTTTTCTTTTTATTTACATTGCGTATGCTTAAAATTATACTTGCAAACTTTTTTATTTCGTACATTATTTAGATACTTATTTAGATAATTATTACACTTTATTGATACTATATGCATGAATGCTGATGCTATGTGTATCGTACATAAATATAACATAAAAACAATATTATGCCATTATAAAAAGGGTTTTAAGCAACCAAGGTCCCTCAAATATAGCAATATATCAGCTAAGATCTTAGACATTTCATCTCCACCTTCCTGTTTCAATATCCTACAACGTTCTGCGTTATTCATTTTTATCATTTGTTGTTCATCTATAGAGAAATATCCCATCAATTTTGGTAAGAAAAAAGATGCAATAACGAAACCGAAGAGACCACCTCTCTTGTAATCGTCAAGGAAAACATCGTACGAGTACTTATCGATATTCCAAATGCCAGCCTCTAACAGATATTCTTTCAACGCGTCATGATAAACGCGCATTATATCGAAAAACTTGTCTTTCATTACTTCATGCCAGCAGCACAAACCAATATACGTAGAAAGATCAACGACGGGAGTCGAATATCTACATGTCGCGAAGTCGATCAGCATTGCATGTTGCTGTCCATCATCTTTTCTCTTAAAGAGAATATTATTCAACGTAAAATCGCCGTGACACATTGTGGACAAAGGTTCTAGTGGTTTAGTCATCTTTACCATCACTTCGTCGAATGCATTCGAGAGTAAAGCTTCCATTTTGTCGCAGAAAATCGCGTCATGATTGTGGCTGCGAAGATATTCTACTGCTCGCGTTGCCTGAGAATTGATAAGAAGCTTAAACTCGTGAAACTTCTCGGACCTAATTTCTTGAAGCTGTCCTACGATATCGAAGAACTTTTCTTTCTGCAGTTCCTTCATGACATATCCTTTGCCATGGAAGCGTCCTATCTCGCGCATCGCCGCTAATGTGTATTCTAACGGAATGTTGTATTTGTACGAATAAGGACAGTACCCTCGTTTACTGACGTTCTCCAAAGCAATTACTGAGTCCATAGGTGGCTTCTCGTCGACGTAGAAACATCTCGGAAAATTCTCATCCGGTCGAGCATATGTTCGGTAAAACAATATTTCGTTGTGAAATTGCAGGTCGCTGCCCGTCATCTGTCTCCAGACTTCTAACTGTTTAGGTCTTTTCAGTATTATAAAATGTTCTTCATTCTGATCCGTCAGTCTATTTTTAAACTTGACGCACGCATAATACATAGTAGACATAAAAACGTCGATAGGCTCGGTTATCTCGTATTGAGCTTCATCGATATTTAGACCGAAACTTTCAATGATTTTTGACATTACCTTTTTGTTCCATTTCTGGAAATCTACATCGTAGGACATTTTTGTGTGATATGCAATTTGTTGAGTAGCTGTCCAATGAACTAAATAAAAAACAAACATTTTTTCTCTTTTGTCTTTTTTTCGTATATTTTTTAATTTCAAAGTTAAAAAACATTTTAGAAAAAGAGTAAGTTTTTACACAATAAAATTTCACATAATGTAAAATACAATATCTTTGCGAAAAATTATCGTACAAATTATTTTCAAAAAGCATTTTGAAGGTTAGGAAGCCTACTTTCAGACACTTTCATATTAAATTTTGTTTACTGATGTTTCATTGAATTGTAGCGCCTTAAAGTAAAATAAAAATATTGCAAAGATATTATTTTTCAATTTTATGTAACTTAGGAACAAAATATTCAAACACTGATTTAAAGCCTCATACTTACACTTTAAAATGCGTGGTCGAAAACCTCTCTGAGATTTCTTTTCGCCGAGATATATAACTTTTCGTAAAATACGAGAAAATTGTAAGTGCCTTATACTTTTGTCCAAGGCTGTATTTACTCATGTGACATACGTTGGTTATATCGTCTGCAAACGCACTTAACACTGACTGCAGTGCCGATTGCAATACATTATATGTAGGATAACTCCGGCAAATACGCCGCGCTGGAATTTACGCCGCAGAAGTCAGGAAAAACAGAAGGAGTGGGGGTAATTTTCCCTCTCTACTCTGTTACATGCCTTTATGTTATATTATGTTATATTGTGCTATGATTTCAGCTTCTTACTATTAATATTAAT